TTTGTGTCCTCACATGCTGGGTCTCGGTAGCTCTCTGGGATCTCTTTCATAAGGGCCTAATCCTACTCAGAGCTCTTGTGAACTAATCACTTCCCAAAGGCTACATCTTAATATGATAACTTGGGGGTTAGGATTTCAACATATGCGTTTTGTGGAGACACAAATATTCAGGTCATAGCAGTGAATTTCTGGTAATAAGGAATCTTTCCTTTTTGTTGTTGTTAGATTTGGGAGTTTTAGAGTTTAATTGTTCTTTTTAAAGCCGAGCAAGATGGTTCCTGCCTGCAATCCCAGAACTCTGGGAAGTTTAGGTAGGTTTTCAGATTTGGGCCTAGCTTGGAGAACCTTGCAAGTTAGCAAGAACCTGTCTTGAAAAAAAAGTTTTAGAAAGGACTGGGGAAAACGTAGAACGTTTAGATTTTTTTTTTTTGTCTTTTTGAGACAGGGCCTCACCATGCAGTTTAGGCTGGTCTTGAACTCACTTTGTAGCCCAGGCTGGCGTCAAACTCACAATGATCCTCCTGCCTCAGCCTCCTCAGTGCTGGGATTACAGGTGTGCGCCACCTCATCAGGTTAAACTTTTAGATCTTAAAGGTAATTTTAAAGAACTTTGGCTCTTGCAACATTTTAGCAGTAAGAATTTCTGAGAATTCTGTATACCCTATCATAAAGCATTTCATGAAAAATGATTTCCATTATATTAGATGTGTTTGTTTCCAGGACATAAAACAATTTTCACATGAGTGGAACAATTATTTGCACTATGGATAAGAAGTATCCAGTGTATTCAGGACCACATTTCTAGAGCTTAGCTTGATGGTGCTGATATAAATGGCACTACCTTTCTAAAATTGAGGGATCATGCAAGACAGACAACTTGTAGCTTATAAATGTATTTGGCCTTGTAAGGTATCAAAGAAAGACTGCTGGATCAAGAAAATTGTTCAAACAAATAGCTTCAAAGTTTAGAACATAAGAACAAATCTAAATAAATGTGAGAAAAATCACTAATTACCTGGAGTGTATCAGTTTTCCAAAGTGTATATTATTGAACTTCTTGGTGTGTACAGTTCTCTGAGGTTCATTTGGAGGTACATATGCAAAAAAGATCACCTCATCAGGGGAGATATACTGCAAAGCAAGGGCAGTTTCAAAGCCCATATCAGGAACCTGGAATTGGAAAAAAGAAAACAGTGCATTTAAATGGTTTTATACTTCAATTATGATGAAATTCACATAACAGATTTGTTTCCAGTTCTCATCAAAATAATACTATTTCTCACACCCTTTGATTCACAGAGTCCCCTTAGAACCATCATAGGCACTTTTGGCCTGGATTTCTGATCTGTAGGTCCTGTCTTCTTCCTTTTCTTTTCTGCTACTGGGCACTGAAAATAGGTTCTTCCCCTGCCCTTTTTAATTTTTATTTTTTTATTCTCACTAAGTTCTAAATTGCCCAGGTTGGACTGTGATCCTCCTGCCTCGGCTTGGCCCATAGCTCTTTCCAACATATCTTTCAGTCTTAATCTTGTTCAGTTTTGGGAACTTCTAGGGGTGAGAAAAGTGGATACCAACCCCAAAGGGGATTCTGGAATTGACCTTATTGCTCAGACATAAGAAGCATATGGTAGATGGTACAGACCGTTTTGGGGAACACTCTTCAAACAGTACCTCCAAGACCCATTTTTGTTGTGTTTTTCCCCTCAGGTTCCGTATTTTTGGGACTCACTGAGAAGAGAAGAGCACTAGAAACAAGACTGGGTAAAAGGACAGGCCCTGGAGCCAGCTGCCTAGGATACGTGCCTGATTCCAACAACTAACCAGCTGAGTAATTTTTGGTAATTATTCATCCTTTCTGTGCCTACTTTCCTCTTAGTAAAATGGGAATAAATAATTACTATACAGATTTTAAGCACTTACAGCAGTTCCTTCTACACAACAAAGGCTGGGGATTATTTTTTCTAGAAAGGATGCATGCATAATTGAGAGACAGAGAGAGACACAGAGAGAGAGACGGAGAGAGAGAGACAGAGAGAGAGACAAGAGACACAGAGAGACTATTTAATATGAGTTTCTCAAACTTGTTCTGAGTATAACCACTCCCCCATAGGTTATAGGGTTTTCATTGTAATAATTTAAACTTTCATATAAGGGGAAAAGATGCTTTTCTGCAAAATTGTGAAGTTAGTGAAACATTATCTACTTTTTTGGTTAGTTCTACTTTCCTGTTCCTGTCATTCACTGGGTATATATGCAAATCCACACCCCGATGAGGGCGAACATATGAGGAGGCATATGGTAGCACAGCACTCTCACAGGAATGTCCTCGTTCTCATTCTATAAGCATATCTCAGACAGGGGATGCGAACACACTATTCTCTCAACTGCAGTCTTGGCTTGGTAACTGGAATGATCTTTTAAAATGAGATGCATCCTTTGTTCTGTTTTTTTTGTTTTGTTTTGTTTTGTTTTAAGCCAGAGAGAAGGTTTTATTAAACCCCAGTCAAAAGATTGATTATTTGCTGATATATTTTCAGGACTGTATGTCCATGATGAATTCTTAGGCATATGTACCTTTATAAGTAGCATATTGCACATTAAAGTTATTATAAAAATCTGTCTGTAGTGCATCTAGAGGAGTGTAATGAAGAAGAGAACTCTTTTCTCCATTGGTATTAAGAAAGAGAAAATTAAAGGGTAGGGTTAATATGGAAGAAGAAAGGTGAGCCAGAACTTGTTTCTTCAAGGTTGACCTTAGGAGGCAGAGAATTAACCCATCTGGGATTATGCTGGGAATAAGGGATCTAGTTTAGAAGATCTGGTGGTATTCTGCTGCAAAGATATTTGCATGAAGATATTTGGTGTTAAACTGTAGCTATATAACTCTGCTATGTAGCTGGGAGACTTTGGAGATTCCCAGGTCTATGGAGGTTTTCCTTTAGTTAAATAGAGCAAACTACATTAGTAAGAGTTTGTCCCAAGGAAAATACTTTACCATTATTCTCTGTGTAAAGTGTGGAACATATTCTTATAACAAAGGAAACTGTTTCAATACATTATACTACTGACCTTTCCAAACATTCTAGAGTTTTCAGAGGATTCAAAGTGATCTGGAGTCAGTTTATGTATGAATCCTAAGTGATCATAGTATAATGTGAAAACTTGATCAGTAACAATTCCAATTTCACTATATGTCTCTAGTCCTAGAAGGAAGTAAAAAGAAGTCTTATGTGATATAATACAAATTGAAATATAATAATATAATAACCTGTAAAACGTCCTATTTAAACTAAGGGGTAGGAGTAGGGCTGCAAGACTCCTGAATTAGCAAAATATATGTTAGTCTGTGTTAAGTCCCTGGGAAGTCTTTTCCAGAATCCATGTTGCTACAGAACCTGCTCACTGAAGTAGGTGAAGGACAGAACAGAATAAGGGATGTTTAATTAAGGGATATAGAGGAAAGGGATTTAGTGTTCCTGGTAGTATTTTCTCTTTAGTTTTCCTGGTTCCTGAACAGATAGAAGCAGTAAGAAAACAATGGCAAGAGGATTGTCAGTAGATTGGGTCGTTATGTTGAAGCAAACTGGACTCCCTGTGGTTTTTTGCGGGCAGTGTGTTGTTGAGAAGTACTGTCCGTAATCTGGTAATTGAGCAGCATTCATTTAGCCAGGTGGTGATCTAGAGGAAGAGTCTGTCTCTTGGAAGGAGCTAGAGTGAAAGTTCATATCTTAAGATGAAAAAGACTGATTTATGTACACCACTTGACCCAGACTCTCCCGTCCCTGACCCCTAAGCATAGAAGCACCCTAGGATTCAATTCTTAAGTTTATTCTCCCACTGTTTTTGGAGCTCTCATCCAGTTTTAGAATTTTAAATCTATATTTTTGAGAGAATGATTTAAAAAGTGAAGTCTCCCATCTAGTTCTCTTTTTTGAAGTCCAGACTAATAACATCTGTCCACCAACAGCTCCTGAACAATGCTGGTTAGGCATCTCTATCCAAATGGAATGCCTAGTCCTCAGGCAAACTTTCTCCATCCCCAGCCTTCCTCATGTTTCATCCAAAAACTTTGATGTCACTCTTTAATTTCTCTCTTTCTCTTGCACCCTATCTATATCTAATCTGTCAGCAAATTCTATTGATTCTACCTTCAATATATACAGACGCTTTTTGATTTATGGGGTTAGGTCCTGGTAAACCCATTGGAAGTTGAAGATATCATAAGTCAAAAGTGCATTTAGGACCTCTTTCCTTTCCACTGTCCAAGCTTAGCCACATGGCATACTGTGGAGTATGAGCTGTTTCCCCCTGTGAGCTCATGATCAATTGGCAGCTGAGCCTCTCTGCTGCTGCCTAGTATAGTAAGATAGTAGCCTATTGAATATCTGTAAGCTAGGAAAAGATGAACATTTAAGATTCAAAGTACAGATCACATTGAGACTATACTGCTTTCTTACTGTTTGTAAAGTCAAAATCTCCTAAATTGAATCATCCTAAATCAAGGACCATCTGCATAGAGAATCCACTCACTTGCTACCATGGTCATTACCATCACCCTACACAGGCCACCTTTACCTCTCTTGTGCTTCCTAACTGGTCTCCAAGATTCTGCTGTAGCTCACTTCAGACTGTTCTCAAACAGCACCACCCATAACAGTGACAACAACAAAACCCCAAACCAAACAACCTACCCAATACTATGTGACTTCATCTAATTCCCTAATCAAAACTCTCAATGGCTTCAACCTTCCCCTTAGGAAAAGCTGAAGTCCTCACAATGCCTTCTAAGTCATCATGATCTGGATTCTGTTGACCTCTCTGACTTAATATTTTGGGCCGTTTACTTTGCTCTAGCCAGACTAACCTCAGGTTATCTATGTCCACAATTGTGTCATCTGTCACAGTGTCAGCCTTGTTTCTTTCTCTCCAATGTTATGTTTTATATATTGTCCTTGGCTTTTTCATTGAATTCATCCCTCCAATACAGTGATGAATACGAGTGTAGCATTCATCTTTGTTAATATAAAATTTGATTATACATTTGCTATGGTTTTCTCCCTTAGGTAGTGCTTAATCAAAAATTTTTTTCCTATTCTTGGGCTGCTAAGGAGTTTTGTTTTAAAATAGCTAATGATTATAATTTACCATCTTTATTATTATTATTATTATTTTAAAGAGAGAAAAACAGTAGAAATAATGATACAGAATTTCAACTCAAGACAGTAGGAAATTAACAATGGTTAATATATTGCATATTGTTGTCTTGAAAGTAGTTACTCAGATTACAAGACATAGGTATGCAAAATTGATCAAACAATATAAGCACAAATTGTTCTTTTCAATGAACTAATAGCAATTAGTAGTATAATTATCTTAGCTATCTTGTGCATACATGTATTTTTTCTTTTCCCTCCTTTTCTGTTTTCCCCATCACAGTTGTTCCCTCTTTTTGAAAAGTTTCTTTACCTTTCACATTACCTGTTGTACATTTTGGATCTTGTTTACTCTTTCAGTTTCTTAATCTAGGGAGACAATACGATGTTCACACATGCGAGTCTGATTTATATAATTTACCATCTTAACCACATACTGAGGCTCATCAAATATTTCTCTGCATTTAAGGAGATTATAGGATGTTTTTCCTTTAATCTGTAGTAGTGCCACACTGATCAACTTTCTAATACTAAAGTATCACAGAATTCTGACGTAAATCCAGCAATCATGTAATAATTCTTTTCATATGTTGTGTGGCCTAAAATTTCCTCAGGATTTTTACATCAATGCGTCTTAGCAGTACTTGTCCACCAGATGGCACTCATACCATCATGGTTAATACCTCCCTTGAAAGTATAGTCCATTGGTTTCTGCATGGTGTTGGTTCTAAGACCATATACAGCTAGCAAAGGCAGAGGATGCTTACACAATGTTTTACACACACTGGGAGTTGTGGTGTGCATCTTTAATCCTAACATTCTTGGAGCCTGAAGCAGAAAGATCACAAGTTTGAGCCCAGCCCGGGCAATTTAGTGATTTAGCAAGACCCTGTCTCAAAATTTAAAAAACAAAAAACAAAAAACAAAAAACAAAAACAAGAGCTGGGTATGTAGCTCAGTGCGAAGGCCCTGAGTTCAATCTCCAGTACCACACGTATATACACACATGGTTTCTATAATCTTAACCTGTATACTTTGAATCATCTGTAAGTAACTTACAAGATCTAATACTATGCCATGCAAATAGTTGTTATACTATATTATTTAGGGAATAATGATAAGAAATACAAATATTAATACAGATGAATTTTTTTTCCCGGTGTTGGTGTTTGAACCCAGGACCTCATGCATGCTAGGCAAACAGAGTCTCAGCCTTTTCCAAATATTTTAATCCTTGTTTGGTTGAATCTATGAATGCAGAACCTAAGATATGGAGGGCTGACTGTACTTCATCTCAGTTATTTTCTTTTTCTTGTTTTTTTTCCAGTACCAAGAATCAAACTCAAGACCTTGTGCTTGCCAGGCAGGTTCTATGCCACTGAGCTAAATCCCCATCCCCTCAGTTATTTATACTGTCATCACTTTGAGTTTCCTGAATCATTGGTACAGTAGACATTGAGATTTGCTGCTGTTTAAAATATCTTTAGAAATATTATGTTAGAATTTGGTATGGAACAAAGTTATTGTAGGTGCAGCAATAAAAAACTAAACAGTAAAATATATATTTATCATAAAGCCAGTCTTGAAGAAGAATTTACCACAATCCTACATTTCTTTCTTTCTTTCTTTCTTTCTTTTTTTTTTTTGGTTTTTTTCTGGTACCAGGAATTGAACTCACGACCTTGCGCTTGCCAGGCAGGCGCTGTGCCACTGAGCTAAATCCCCAGCCCCCTGCATTTCTTATAGAAAAACTTTCAACTTGTAATCTTACAGGACCTAAGAATGGAAGAAAGCCACAAGTAGGTAAAACTTACTTTATAGTGTGCTATTGAGATAAAATGACTGTCTTACCTCACCCCAAGCAATGCAACTATAGCCAGGGAAGCATAATGTCAGAACAATCATGCGACACTTCAGATCAGTATGAGAACACTGTGTTAAAGATTAATTGGAAGTATTTTTCTTTCTGTGTGTTATTAGAACAAAATGACTTATAATCAGCACAATCTCAGATTTGATGAAATAGAGCAGCCACAACATCTTTCCATTGGCTTTGCATATGAATGATGAATTGGTTACAAACGTTTAGGCAACATTATTTTTCCTTGAAACTTCTATAGGAAACTATTTGGTATTCACTGTTGAAGAGAAGAATCCAAGGGTGGCTTGATTTTTTTTTTTTTTTAATGCTATAGCTTGGTGCTATTGGGAGAAAATGAACGAGAATGAGGCTGAGGCCAGGGCCCTAGTATATCTTGCAAGGGTATGTCTCCAATGATGTACTTCCTCCAACGAGACCTTACATCATGAAATTTCTACCACTTCTCAATGGTACTTTCTAACAGTAATATGAGCTGGGGGACACAGATTTAACACATGAGGTTTATTTGAGGGACATTTAAGATCCAAACCATAAACTCAACCCTTGATTTGATCAAATTGGGTAACTATCCTTGATTGTAATTACAACCATGATTTTTACAAAAAATTTTTTTGTGGATATATTGGAAGCTTACCAGGAAAAAAAAATCCTAGGACTTTGAATATCTAATTTGAGGCCAGGCTAGAGACCCTGGTATTTATCAGGGGAAAAATGGTCCTCATTTCATAACATGCACAAAATTAGAGATTTTGCATAGAAATCTCAACCAAAGTGCTAAAGAAAATAGAGAATATCTTCATAACATTGGGATAAGCAAAGAATTATTTTTTTTTGTTTGAGACAGGGTCTCACTATGTAGTGCAAACTGGCCTTAAACTCACTCATGTAGCCCAGGCTGGCCTCAAACTCACAGCAATCCTCCTGCTTCAGCTTCCTGAGTGCTGGGATTTCAGGTGTATACCACCATACTTGGCAAGATCTTAAACATGGTACAAGAAGCACGAAGTACTAACCATAACAGAAAAGATGGATGATTTGCACTTTTAAAAACTGATAATTTTTGTTCAAATCACATCAAGAATAGAATAAATTATTAGAAGATATTTTCATGTCATATTTCTCACCAAGAACTTGTACCCATGATACATTAAAAACTTATAGAAATCAC